TCGAAGCTCGACGATCGCCAGCGATCTCCGGAGGTAATCAATTTTGATCGATCTCAGCTTTTGATCGATCATCTTCTGTTTCTTGATCTTAATTGCTTTCATTTTAACTATTAGATGTTTGATATAAGAGGTTGTTTGGATCTTCATCGATCTTGATCCAGATTCAACCATTTCTTGCAGATACTTTGAGGTTCTAAGATTCCAACCGAAGATTCCACCGATTCGTCGAGAATCTCTGCGATCAGATGGCGATTTCGAATCCAGCTCCGGATTCCGCCAATCTCACCGAGGATCGCGATCGCAAGCGGAAGAGGGGTCAAACCCTCAGTAATCCGTCCTCGTCTCGATGGAAGAACGAGAACAAAAGCTGCTACTGCGTCGAAGCGTTCTAGAAAGCCCCTCCGACCCACGTCCCGCCGCTCGAATCCGACGGCCCGGGGTGAGCCGGACGACAGCGGCAGATCCGCGCTGGTCCGCGCAGGCCAGCGGCACCGCCGCCGTCGGCCATCGCCTGCCCCGCGGCCCGCACTCCGCTGGTCACAAGTGCGGATCCTCGCGGAACCGGGGAGCTCGCAAGCTCAAATCGCCGCCGTCCGCAAAAGGCGAGCCGGTCGCGGTTCCGTTGTTCGAATCTCGAGCTGTACGAATCATCGCCTCTATCGTTCTCACTTTGAAGAAACATCGCCGTTGCCTAATCAGCGGAAAGCTCAGGGTTTTGGCCGGCTGGTGCCGGGCTGATCGCAAAGCTCGCAGCATGGCCAGACGCTTGGAAGAGACGATGGATTACATCCCCGCGCTCGAGATGCAGGTCCGAGTGATGACCCAGCTGGTCCAGATCTTATCGGGTCTAGGCGCGGATCGGAGCGGATCTCCGTAACTCTTACCGGATCCGATTTCATCCGCTCTCCGTCTTACTTTTTTTTTTCCCACCTATTTTTGTGCGTTTAAAATTCTTGTATTTTATTGTAAATCCTTTTTCACCCCTCTCGGTGACGATGAGCGCTAGGCAGTGGCATTTTCGTAAATAATCTTGTCTTTAGTGGTTCATTACCAGTCACGTGCGGCCGAGCGAGGCGCACATGCAGTCACGAACGCCACTGGGCCCCCTCGTGGCCTTGTCCAGCTGGCCACGTGGTCCTCAGTGGCAGTTCAGTAGATAAGGAAGAACGTCGTGGCTTTGTTTGGTAAAACTTCAGATAAGTTCTGAAACGAGTAGGGGCATCTTGGGAATGTTTGCGATTGTAGGGCGGCCTATTGAAGAACGCCGTGCAGTGTTTTTAGCGCTTTACATGTTGGTTGGTGTCACATGGGAGCTGAGGCGCACATGCAGTCGTGCCCTGTATTCGCGCTTGGGCCCCCGGATGGCAGTAAATAAGTGTTCAAATTAGTGAGGGTATTTTGGGGATATTGTGGTTAATAATGGGGGCTTATTAGGGGTGTTAACGGAGTGGATACGGCTCGGATATGGCACTTACCATATCCATATCCGCTTACCCATCTCGCATACGGATACGGATACGGATATACGTCGGTAAGAAAAATACATATCCATATCCGCTAAAATCGGATACGGTTACGGATATAGATGCGGATATATAAACGGATATGCATGCGGATACAAAAAGGATATGAGAAAACTAGATAGTATTTAGAAAAATATAGTCATATGATACAAAAAGAGTTCGTTAATATGTTCATTATGATTGAAAAGCTAAGATTAGACATCTTGATCATCAAAATTAACCACAAATCCATAATTTAAGAATCGAAACTATCATAAGAGTATGACTAATATGTATTCAGATATTTTCGGATACGGATACGGATATTTCACTACAAAACCATATCCGTTACCATATCCTATCGGTTATAGATTTGAGTAACCATATTCGTATCCTAACGGATACGGTTACGGATATTTCCTCGGATACAGATACGGTTTGGCACCCCTAGTACCGACGCCCCCTTTTTCTCCCAAATCGGCCAATTTCAGGGTTTTTACGAAGGAAACCAACATTCCCCCAAACTGAGCTATCAACCCCTTTTCCCTCTCTTTCCTTTTTCTATTTTGACCATCCAAACATCCGAATGTAAAGAAAACTGACAATTTTTTTCACGTCTGTTTTCTTTTGAGGTCTTTTCTGCATTTAACGGTGGATGAGAAGGAGGGCGTGAAGTTTGTAGTCCAGGTGGCGGATGCTGCGGCCTTCATGTGGGTGATTGTGACATGAGCCATGTGTGTATCGAAGGACATTTTTGATTTGCCAGGGATATATATATATATGTATATTTTTTATGCTCGAGGGAAGGCCATGTGACAGGCTCAGGGTCTTGCATAGGGTCCGGAACCAAAAAAAAAAATCTACATCAGATTCACTGTTTGTTTTGGAAAATCTAGAGCGGGTTCCTGCTTTGCTTCGCAACAAAGAATGTGTTTTCGTTGGGAGCATTTTAGATTAACGAAATGATTTCATAGCATAGTTTTCATTCTAAATGATGACGTTAAAAGATGTGCATCACTCGTCAGAACACCTCGGATGATGACCCGAGCCATATAGAGTTGTGAGATATCGAAACTGCCCCTCTATTTTATCTTGAAACCCCTTGTATAGTATTCCGATAAGATTTGCACCCGTATTAAGATTAACAATTGTCAATTTGGGCGTGATAATAACTCTCGTGTGCTTGCCTTGTCTTGTGTTTGCAACCATCATTTGGGGTATAAAAACATTAATCGACGTGGATTTTGGATTTTGAATGTAGTCAGTGTTGCACGCGGAAGCCAAAACAACCGATGTGCTTCGAGGAATCAAAACAAAAGTCGAGAGAATGTCAAACAAATCAAAATAATACCACAAACACAAACAACCAATTTTAACGTGGTTCGGCAAGTTGCCTACCTTTACGGGACAAGAAAAAGATGGTGTTTTCACTAATAGTAAAGAAGAGTACAAGCTGAGATTACAAATCACTCAAACTAACCAACTAATCTCACCAACAAATCTCTAATTCTCTCCAAACAAAACCCTAACCAATAGCTCAGAAAATACATCTTTTCTATGCTCCAAATATCCCCACAACAAGCCTAATCAAAGACAAAGAAATCCTAAAACGTGTGTTGTGTTGGTATTTATACCAAGCACAAATCCCAAACAGAATAGGAAACCAAAACAGACCCGAACCCGATTCACGGTCGACCGCGCCAAAGCTCACGATCGACCGGACAGAACGACAGAATCCTGAAAACCATTACAGGGTTTGGCGGTCGACCGTCGAAATCATCGCGATCGACCAGCCAAAGATCCAGAATCTGTACTAAGTCGGGCACATTGCCGGTGGACCGTGCCAAAACTCGCGGTTGACCGAAGAACACCCAAATGTCTGTCAGCTCCAAAAAACATATTCTTCTCCTATGTTTTCGCCGTTTCTACCGTTAGAATGATGTGAGATTTTAACTACTTCTATATAAACACGCTAAGAGTTATATTGTGCATTTTGTTTAAAAATTCAGTTTTGAGTCATCTTTAAAAAGTCGTATTCGGAGAAGTTAGAATATGAGATGTTAATACTAATGCTTGGGATATTATTACTATAAATAAATATACTTTGTAGCTAGTACTCACATTCTCCTTTCTCCTAATATGGTTTTCTAACCTTATTATTGGATGATGTGAGTATTTTTTTTTAAAAAAATGTTTTGAGGTTGTTTGGTTGGTTAAAAAAATAAGGAAATGAATTGGAGGTATATTATTGGATGATGTTTTGAGGTTGTTTGTGTTTGGTTTATTTTTAAAAATAAGAAAATAGATGAGATGAGATGAGTTGGAGGTATATTATTGGATGATGTGACACATACTTAAGGAAATCAATTTCTTATTTTTTTTTGAGGAAATGGACGGAAAGAAAGGTTTAATGAGATGAGATGAGTTGTCACAATATTATTGGATGATGTGTGTGATTTTTAAAAATGAGATAAGATGAGATGTGATGAGTTGGATGATGTGACACATTTCTTGTGTTTGGTTATTTTTAAAGATAAAGAAATAAGATGAGTTGGAGGATAAAAATATTATTTTATTGGATGTTGTGGGTGAGTTTTAGGGAAGGAAATGGATAAAAATATTATTTTATTGGTTCCCTTGTACCGATTTCCTTTTCTTGGTTTTTAGGAAACCAACCAAACGGCCCCTAAATGGAGTCGCTTTTTAGAATTTACTTCCCAATATTAGCTATCACCATTCAGAACTTATTATTTTTTTCTTTTCAAATTTGATTTGCCATCACACACTTCCAGATCGTGATCGATTGCTCGTTCGTCTTGGGGGCACCCTTTCGCAGTCCAGACTCAAGTGAATAGTGCAGGCGTCGCAATGCCCGATAACTAGGAATTGGGTTTAAGCGTATCTATCACAGATACGGATCCCTAGCCTTAATTTCGAGCCAATACTCCAAGCTCCAAACACTAGGCCGCCCCTACGCGGGGGAAGGGGACAAATTCACACAAACAACGTTAATTTGAAACCGTAGGAGACCAAACTTCAAATCTAAAAGTTCTCCTTCACTCTCTTCTTCTAGACCTTAATGAGCCAAATGTATGGCTCTCCTATAGCTAGCAACGCCACTCGATCCGTGCGCGTGTTTTGTTTGTTTGTGCTTCCATTATTGGGTTGATGCACCGTCGATGATGGGAACACGTCGGGGGCTGCATTGCATCGCCCTCCTCGCCCTTTCGTTGGATTCTCGTCCACAGAACTCTAGCTAGATGCATCCGTAAGAGGCAAAAAAATATCGAGTGCGCGCATTTTGGTGCACAAACTATTAATCCCACTCTTGCTACAAAAACACATGTAACCTAACAACTATAGACACGATCAGAGTCACTCACTAGCTACTACTCTCTCATAAAGAAGGATTAATGATATCGGTTACTTCGATCGTGGTTAAATTGTCACGTTACGGCTTGCAATTATACGAACGCAAAGGTTGGCATCATGATGTACAAGTGGGGAAAAAAACGAAGAAAGAGAGGAGGCGGAAATTAATTAACGAACTTAATTATCAATCGTGTGCACGTGTAGTACATAATATACTACCGTCGTTTTATATCTTGCAAGCGAAGAATTTCGAAACCCTTGTATTCTTTTACGGGTAAATTACGCTAAACCTCCGGGATCTTTTAGTGTTTTTCAAAAAACCCCCAATAACTTTTAAAATCTCACTAATCCTCTAATAACTTTTGTAGAAGACCCCCAATCTTTTCTGGTAAATTACACTAAACCGCAACACTTTTAAAATTCCCTTTCGTATTGTTTTTTTTTGTTCTAATTCATCAGGGATATTTGTGAAATGCCAAAAACTTATTTGGTGGGGGGGGGGGGCGTATTCAGCCTTTTTATGACAAAAATTACACAGTGTTAATCCAACTTCTGGGGCAGACACGTACCCAGTTCCACGCCTAATCAGACATGATCAGGGTCCAAGCAATTCGAGCTACTTCTGCGACCAACTCGATAGGCCGACGAATTACGTGGCCGACTAAAAAAGCGGTATTTGTTGATCCACCCACCAGTTCAACCCTACAAGCACTCGCGCTCGACCTATCATGTCAGGCAGACAACTTGCATGGTCGATAAAAAAGACGGTGTTTGTCGGCCCTCAACCAGACAAGTAAAGAGGCGGTATGCCCTCAAACCTCCTACCGACTGCCCTCCCCTTAAATGCTCCGTCAGACTCATCATTCTCTAGCCCTTATAGTCTTTATGACTCATCAAACCCAGTCAACACTAAGCACTTGTTGTCATCCTCATATTAAATACCTCGTTAACTCGCTCATTTCAGCGGCCGACATCTGTGAAGTAGGTGATGACTAGGACGTCA